AAAACTAAAAAAAGAAGAAGAAGAAGTGAGTTGTTGTTTGTTGTTGAAGTTTCTTACCGATGCCTCTGAAAATTATTGTCCTTCGCGAATTTTTTTCGATAGCTGGCAAAGTAGTTATGTCAAAGCTGGGGAAAACAATGAGAGCCACCATTTGATTTAATGATAATTCAATCATTTTTACTTCGAAATTTCAGCGATTAGAGTGCTTTTGAAAATCGGCCAATGGTGGAAGGTGAACAGGTCCGAAATGATGTTGTTTTGTTCAGGTGTATATACAGGTATATGATTTTTGGGCTGATGGTTCTACACACTTCTGCTGCATTGCAACTGAAGCCTCATGAAGTCAATTGTGCAGTGCTTATTCATGTTAACAGGTGAGATTATCAATATTTCTCATTTATATCTATACTTACGTATATCCTGCTATTTTTTCACTGTATTTCCGTTATTATTCACCTAAATTCTCAGAAGTGTTTATGTAGGTATGTATATATTTTGGAAGAATTCAGTTCTAAAGCCCACACCCGAGCAAGTAGTGAAAAAAGTCAGGCATACATGCAGTGTATGAAAGTAAAGCCTACAACTATACTAGCTTTTACCATCAAACGAAGGCAATGATTGACGAAACTGCTGCATTTTCCTACAAAATCAATCATTCTGTTATGAAAACGAATAATTTCGTATGCTTGGTAAATTGTGAGTCTGATTCTAATATAATTTCTAACATCCATAAATGACTGATGTTGATTGTTTTCCAGATAACAAATTATTTCCCCTACATACATTTCTACAACGGAGCAGGAAGAACATTACTGTCAATCACAGGTACCTACCTAGTGTATTGGTCATTGTCTTGAGATAGAGAATAATGTATATATTCAGTGTTCATCATATTCTCGTTTATATATCCCAATAAAGCAAAATTGAGTAGGTAGGTACTTATAATAGGCGGTATTGTTTATCATGACAGAAAAAGTGAAAATTCATTTGAAAGCTGGTTGAAAAGATATTTACAAGACTTCGTAGGTAAATTACAGGGAACAGGACTTAAACCAAATTGAAAAAATATATGAAAATATAATTTAATAGATATTTTTATTAACCTTCAAATAACCATATTCTATAATTATTAATGAAGAACACAATAGATTGGCTACTGAAATTGCACTTGTCTTCTATGGAAACATTCAAGGAAACATCATAGGCACTTTCACAATAATGATCAGTTCTGGTGGAAGTTTCATCAGCACTATGGTAAGAGATTTCTACTCTGTCATTATCCGATTCATTCCTGTTAATGAAGATGAGTTGGTTGATATGGATTGAAGAATTATTGAAGACATATTCATATTCAAATGATCAATAAATCGCGAGCTGTGGAGTCGAACCGAATATGATTCGAAGGGCAAGAAAAACAAATCAAATATTGATATTCTATAGGATACATAATTCTTTTTATCTCTTGAAGCGCACGAAAGTAAATTCCTATAATGTTCGTGGAACAACAGATGTTGGATTTTTTTTAAACTTGTGGGTGTTGTAAGTACGTCTGAGTGGTTGCTAGTGATGGAATTATAGCAGAGAATTCCGAGGAACATTTCCCGTGGAAGTATCTATAGAAAAGTGAAAGGTCGCGCCGACCACCAGGCGAATGGCTCTTCTCTGGATGGAATCTAAGAGCATCAGCGTATGTTTGGGTGCTGAACAGTATTCTGTTTATTCTAATGAGAGTTCCAATGAGGTCTTGTTTCAATATAGAGTTGCGTACTAATGATAGCACCAAGATTGAAGAGAGCTACCCGGAGGAGTCATGGATCAATAAGTCAATAGAATGCATAGTTAGGAAGGAATTTCATCAAAGATTTATGCTGTGTTGTGTTAGAGTGATATCGTTCATGTACCTGAGAATTTTTTGTTCATTTCGTTTGTAGGTTATTCTGAGATGTCACCATGACGCATAAATATGACGTCTTGTGGCATTGACATTATGACATCATTATTGGGTTCTCCAGACGTTATCTTAGGTTCTCAGAATGTCCACTTCGTAATTTTGTGTTTAAAAAATTACGTCAATCGGAGGTCATATGTATCTAATCGAACACAAATATCATTCAAACATCGAATGAAGAATGAAGAAAATTAAGGAAATTCTGAATATTGACCAACGCAACTTCTGATGTATCACAAGTATCGTTCTCAGAATGGCCTCCAGGAAACGAATCTCCAGATTAGGATCTCTATGAAACCAAAGAAGCTATAAAGTTTTTGGGTGTAACACTTGCCCTGAGAGTCTCAAATAAAATAGTTTTTTTATGTATGTATGTATATGTATCAATGTATTCAACATGCTATAAAATAATGAGAAATTTGAGAGGAACAGTATTTCTCAATATTTAAGACTGTTGTATTTCGGTCTGATTCAGTCCGTCTTACAGAATGTTCTGATATTCTAGGAATACACATCACAATTTGAAAAGGCCTTCATTGTCCAGAAAAAAATATCCATAACCATATTCAATATCTACCCTCAACTAATAGTATTGATTTGTTGACTACAGCATGCACAATGACATTACCTAGTTTAGATACCTATCGCTTGATTCTTTACATTTGAGCCAATATCCATAGGTTTGAGAAGAATGAGGATGTTCAATTGCATAATAAAGGATTGAAGTGTAATCTACATCAAACTTACTCACGTTCACAAAATTCACCTAATATCATATGATCTTAATTGTGTAATTAATTCAAACTAATACACAGGAATGATAAAAACTGCAATAAGTCATTCGAAACAAAAATTTTCCACTCCTACTTTAGGAAATAAACGAAGAACCTAATCAATATAAAATATAATGAATCACACAATGACATAATAATGAGTAAAATTTGGAAATTTGGAAAATGCATTGCCCACTAGCAAAAATTCATCATAAATGAATGCTTCAGTATTTTTTTAGCATTTCGGAAATCCTATGTATGAAGTATTATACATCATTTTGAAAGTACCAAATAACGAATTCCACGAGGTAATAAAATACGAGGTGTTCCATTAAAAGAATATATAAGTTTGTGTCGTATCTTCAAAACCATATCCCGAAAACAAAATTTGAGTACGCCACTGGATTTTGCTCAAAATTCCCTGTTAGACGTAGTTCTTGAAGCGCAACATTATTCCTAATAGCTTCGTAGATATAGAAGGGGTCCAAAAAGCATGAATTCTCAAAAATGACCTGTATATCGTAAAAGGAAACAGATATGCAAAATCGGATTAGGCCATCTTTAGTTTCACGAAAAAGTAGGACAGGAACGTGAAAAGCACCACCGAGAAACCTGCCAGTCTCAACCAAAATGGGATACGCTGTACACTGTTCCCCCTCTCGCAGACTGTTTGCCTATCACAATTTACGTGCAGTGTTGACGTCTCAGCGTTTTCTTGAAATGACATTTGTTACATTTGAGATTTATTGGAGAAAATGATGCAACATCGTAATCTCAACTGATAAGTCAGACAACGACACGGCATGCTTACTCATTACATACATTTCCATACTGACTGAGCACTGAGTAGTGATCCTGCTTCCTGCTGAAAGCGGAGATACGTTTTAGCAAAGAAGTGGGGACGAATCAATGTAGAGTAGTCCAGTTGGATATTTGATCATCCATCCCTTGTATCTGTTAAATTTCGAGCTGGTCGACCTGTTCGAAAACATCTCGTTCTCGTTTCTCAAGTAAGTATTCGGAAAACCTTTTCTTTACCCTATAGTGACAAGCTATTCAAAGACACAAACATTATGGACCTGCGACAGATATACTTTCTGAACGTAGTCATGGCACACCACAAATTTAAAAATGATATGCAAATACCCAATCACACTTATAGCACAAGATCTAAGCAACAACAACAATCTATTGAAAACTGCATTCTCTTCTAAAACGATTGGACAAAGTGGATATACACATATTTCGGCACGTTTTTACAACAAGCTTCCACAAAAAACGAGATGTATGAACTCAAACAACCAGTTCAAAAAAGCATCCAAAGCGTTTATCCTAGAGGTTGGCAGAGAATTCATACACAACGTAATCGATCGAAATAAATTTGTTCAAGTTGAAATCAATGCATGGAATAAATCAAATCGCGACTATAGCGGTTATCCAATACACATTACATATTATTCATTTCATTTGTTCGAACTATAACTTCATTATGGTTAGGATATTATTATAAGGATAGGAAAATTATAATTGTAGTTTCATAGTGCATAAATTCATATTGCGTCGTTTTGTGTAATTAAGTCTTCTATCATTCAAATATTTCAATGTTTCAATGTTTTTAATAATTTAATATATTATTTTTCACTATAATACTTGTACAAACATCTATTTAAAGCTCACATTTTGTTGATAGCATTCAAAAACCCACGTGCTGGCTATGCCTTAGTGGAATCTTGTGTTTACTTCACATTTAGAGTATTTTTTCTTCTCTTTTTTTTAATTGTATTATATTACTCTGTGAATAAACATTATAATTATTATTATTAATGCATTAGAGATCCTTTATGCCGGCAATTTTTGTCTGTAGATGCTAATAACTTGTCTGTTATCATATTTTAATGTACCTATGTACAAGAAATTTGCATTTTAATGCAAATCTAGTTTTCAAGTGAAGGAATATTTTTTTTCTGGTGTCATTGCATGAAAATCAGAAACTAAATAAAAGATTTATACTTCTATAACAATGGTATTTTTGAAAACCGGTGAAAATAGATATCTATCAGAAAGTCACTATGGAGATAATCATTTACTTCAAATTCAATTCAAAAATATTACTGTTTCATTTGAAATAACGAAATTGTAGGCCTCTACCGAGGTCATAAGAGTTCAGGAATATTTCAGCTGATGAGCTTTCCATCATTTCGGCTCACCAACGCTTTTCATGAATCAGCCTGTATCCGAAATGTTTCAAAAAAAATTCAATAAATAAACAGTTCACTTACCTTTTCTTGCAGCAGGCAACCCTTGCAGGATTTTCAGGATAGAGAGGGTCCCAATAGCAGTAATGTTGCGGACTTTCTTCTTCTATGTACCCAGTATTTTTTTCATGGAAGACTTTACAACTGTTCACAGCCTCATATGGATCCATCAGTTCTATTTGGTGCTGACTTTTAGATTCAAGCTCTTTTCTTTTTTTCAGGATAACATCTAATAGCTATAAAGATACAATGCAAAATTATATAAGTTTCATTTCTATCATCAGATATCTGTAAACAAAAGACGATACACAAATAAAATACTCTACTAGAATTTGATATAATATAACCTTTTACAAAGGAAAAATACCCATGTCTCGGAAAACAATCAAACACTATATGGTAAATTAATTATCACTCTTGTGTACACAAGATTAGATAAGAATTCATTCTCGATCTGTTTATTTGAAACACGAATAACACAAAGATATAGGGGCAGGCAAGAGTCATGAAATGATCAAATATTTCGGAAAATGTTCATTAGATTTTCTTACAAAATTCACAGATTGGTTCCATAATATTGTCAATTCGATAAATGACACCGCCATCGTTGCCACATGCTCCATTTTAATGGAACTATTACGTCAACTCTATAAATTATTCGATATTCGGTGAACGATCTTCAATACTTATTAAACGATACTGTGTTTGTCGCCGACTACGAAGATATTAGTGAAACATTTTTGGAAAATTATTTCATTTGCTCCATGAGTATCACGGAAAAATTCATCTCCGAACAGCTGGACTAGCGCTAGTGGTAAGCGATCGGCCTCTCGTGATCTGAGAAGGTTGTCTGTTTCTTGTTTTTTCCTCGAACACAAGTAAATTTCTATCAATGCCAATGTTTATATTCAACCCTAACCCAACTGGGTTCACCTCGGAGATTTCTCTTTGTCAGAAGCATAGCTTCCTTAGACTCTTTTACCAGTAGTCCAATAAAATGGATGTTTTCGTGCGAGAAGTTATGGAGTTTCGAAACTTGGCAGGATCATACACTTGGTAGTCCTTATTATAAACCCAAGTTTGCGACCTCGAGCGATCACCACTCGTGCTACCATCTTGGAAAAATGGAGCCCGAAATCAGTTTTGACCGTGTAACTCCATTTCTGCGGGTTTTAGAGAAAAAGTTTAATGAAAATGGAGACATTGAAATTTGCTACAAGAAAACTTCTCTAAAATTTTTTGTTTAAATGATAGTTTTGAGTTACAGGGCTGAGAAGTAGGCGAAAATTTAGAAGACTCATGAAAATACTATTTTCATCCATTTTTTTCGCACCATCTACGAATTAATCATCATATTTATCACAATCTTATCATCCATTATTACTATTATTTTTATATTTTAATCGTTCCTATGCCAGTATGACTATTTGAAAGCCCATCAATGTAATGAATGCCGGCTGATTGACCGTCGAGAAACCGTCGCCCGGAGTGTCCTTTTCTGGATGGCCCCGTACCAACGCTTGCTATTTTGCTGCAACATCTAGTTACAGGAGCAATGTATTGGGCCTTCATTTTACCGTGGATGAATGTTTGTTGGGATAAGTATACTTTCACGCACATACGCATAAATGCCTCCAGAAAATTCAAAGATTATTCAAAAAATTATCCAAAATAATATACAAGGAATTTCCTTGCAGGTATACTATCAAAACATACCACAACCTGTTAATTCTTAGATATGATGTTAAAAAATCGAATGAAAGGAAACAGGATTTTTATTGTGACTTCTGAATTTTCGCCTACTTTCTCAGCCATGTAATTCGAAAACTATCAGTTTTTTTTTATGTCCAGGTTCCCACGAAAAGGGATATCCTGTAATGTTCAGAGAACATCGTGAGAACCAAGGGAAATAAGGTAGGAATTGGTGTTGTTCTTAAATTTCTGGAGATTATATGCCTCGGAGAACACCTTCCTTGGCAATGTGTTCCAGAGCCTATCTATTCGTTGGATGAACGAGTCTTTGGAAAGAGATGTTTTGCAGGTATCCAAAGTGACCACGAAGTGATGCGAAGTTTCAAATCGACGGGTTAATCTCGCGGGGACTGCCAAGGGAGGAACAATTGTTGAAATTTCAGAAGAGCATCGTCCATGAAAATATCTATAAAATAGAGCCAGATCGCCAACTTTTCTACGGTGTTCCAGAGAACTGAGTGAGTTTGTGAGCGAGGCATCACCCACGAGACGAATTGCCTTTTTTTTTGGACAGAATTCAACAGATTCAGGGTATGTTTGTTTGCTGCACTCCAAATATGGGCACAGTATTCCAGGACAGGTCGGATCTGTGCCTTATAGAGCATAAGCAGCTGACTGGAAGTGAAATGGCTCCTGGCCTGAAACAGAATACCAAGTTTTTGGGATGCACTTTTAGCAATTGATCTCACGTGATTTTCCCAAGAAAGGTTATTGCTGATAGTAATACCAAGCATCAAAATCGATGTCTTCAAAGATATGGTTACTCCTGACAATCTTATGTTGGGCACAGTGAGATCAGCTTTTCTAGAGAAAAGGCATGCTTGTGTTTTCTTTGCATTGAAATCTACCAATTTATTGGATCCCCATTCGAGAATTGTTGCCTAGTCCATATTTATGTTGTCAACAGTTCTCCCTCGTTCGTTTCTGATTTGTCCGGCTGGTATTAGAGCCCTGGAAGAGAAGGCGGTATAGAGGGTACTATCCGCGAAGCTGTGTACTGGACATGAAGTTGCACCCAACAAATCGTTGATATGGAGTAGAAATAGTGTTGGTGCTAGAATTGATCCTTGCGGAACACCAGCATTTATTATAAGAGGATCAGATGAAACTCCGTTGACCACTACATGGAGAGACCTGTTTGAGAGAAAACTAGCTAGCAGAGAACATAGCTGGGCAGGCAAGCCATAAGATGGAAGCTTGGCGAGGAGTCCGTGGTACCAGACTCGATCGAATGCCTTGGAGATTTCAAGTGCCACGTCTAAGGTTTCACCATATTTTTCGACAGATTGCTGCCTTATATGTGAGACGTAATAAGTTGAACTCTGTAATATACTCAATTAGAGTTATTAAGGACTATGTAAATAAGGACATTTTAAAAATAGTATATTTTGCAAATTTTGAAGCAGTAATGAGATATGGAATTTTATTTTATGGTAGTTGTGGGGAGATAAATCGAGTTTTTGTATGTCAAAAAAGGGCTTTGAGAGGAATGCTAAGGATGGAGATCAGAGATTCTTGTAGAGGCAAATTCAGGGCATTTTCAATACTTACTGTTGTAGGTATATACAGTATGATGCAAATGTATGGAATAAATTCATTTCAAAACAAGACGACTTCCGAAAAAAATCCAAAAACTAGAGTTCAAAAGTCTTTTTATTGTGTATTTTTTCAACTAGACGACCCTTCGATGTTCAATTCTCAGTAGCAGACCTCTGCAAGATTCAGTTAACCAAATGATAATCCATTTTAATTGCAATATTCTTATGCAAAATTTTGACTGTTGGATAGACGATCAGCAGACCTTCCAAACGAGGTGTCACATGACCCCTGCTTGTATTTGAAATGTGTTATAAAAAATAGTTTGAATGTGTTTCGCCTCAATTTTAGCCATCTTCAATGTCTTCGAAATTCCTGATCGATTTTCAACGCCTACTCTTTAGTAACACATACCTCATTATTTTAAAATAATTGTATATCTACTCATTAGAAGGAACTTGTAAGGTAATAAGTTTTTTTCAAGTAATTCTGATAATTAAAACCAGTCAATAATGTATTACCTAGTGTGTTGACTCAATTTTCTTCATAATTAATAAAATTGATCATTATTTTTCTTTGGAATTTCGAAAAAACCTTGATGATAGCTAAAACTAGGTCAAACCACATTCAAGACACTCTGTATAATACTTAGTTGTATTCAGAGTTACAAAGAAGAGTTTAAGAATCTGTGAACACGTAAACAGGGCTGTAGAGATAAAAAACATAAATCTAAAATATTTTCTGATTTTTTATAACTCTAATAACAAAACAAAAAATTCAACTTTTTTCGATATAATTGAAAAAGTAAATGAATTTCAAAAGGCTGCTCTGGATGCGCAACTTTTGCCCCTCTTAACCGGTCACACTTTGTATCATCACATAGATTAACGACTTTCAATCAATGATTATCATAATGAAATTACGATTATTTATACCCAAGAAAACGGACCTGAAAATTTGGGGCCGGTCAAAGAAAATGCCCGGTAGCAAAATAGTAGCCAGTGAGGGCCTGTTATGTTATTTATTCAAATTTTATTTACACACTATAAATTGAACATATTTTAATTCAGAAATAAAGAGATTTGAAAATAGGTACCAAATCTTCGAACAGCTCATTTCTCAGAATTTTGGAGAACTTTTATTGATACCATACAGGGTGTTATTGAAGTATGTAGCCAAACTCCAAGGGGAGATTATGTGGGTGATTCTAAGACGAAAAGTTCTAGTAAATATAGGTCCAGAAATGATTCGTTTTCATGATACAGGGTATCAAAGTTTCTATATAAAATCGTTTTTTTATCAATTACTCAAAATTCTGTTTTTCAATTTTAATGAAACTTGATGTTTTCGTTAACAGTATCAAGAAGCTTCTTTTGGTGTAATTACATTCGAAGTAATAATCCCAGTGGCGTCGCAGTGGGTTACCTTTTCGATTTGTATGGTAAATAAGGCACCTACGCCATAGTTTTTTCCAAGTTCGATATTTTTATCAGACTGAACAATCGAAAAGACAACTTTCTTGTCCTCTATCACATTTTTGTACAAATGTACATCACTTAGTTTCTGAGGAAATAATGAAAAAATTATTTGTCCCCAAATTCGAATATAGGTGCCCTGAAATCATCCATTGGAATCACTCAATAACCTCAATGAGTATTATTATGGAATTTTGAGATTTTTCTAGTCACCAATCAGACTAAATTTTCCCATCATGAAAGCTTATACAGGGTAATCATGAAAGCTGCATCTCTGGTCATTACAGGAGCCAACGGCAGCAATGGGGGGGGGGCAACTGCTGGACCACTCCGGGATACTGTGTTAAATAAAATATTACCAAACTCTAAGAACGGTTCCCGACATTGTTGGCCACTCGTAAAAAAAGTCTTTCAAAGTCCTCTTCCCGGAGAGAGACGAGTGGGTAAGAGGATCAATCCCATTCCCAGAGACCGAACACGTAATGTACACAGATGGTTTGAAAACCCTGCTTGGAGTAGAGCCGGGTGTATTCAGCAGAAAACCGAAGACGAAAATCTCGAATCAATCTCGGTTAGTATGCTACAATCTTTCGGGCGGAGGTCTTCTCAATTGAATTGTGTGCTGGAGAGTTGAAGAATAGACCGCTAGTAAACAAAAACATCAGTATTGTATCAGACAGTCAGGCTGCTCTTAAAGCATTGAGCCCCAGAAAGCTAAATTCCAAGCTTGTATGGAACTGTATTGAATCCCTAGAATACCTGGGTGCTAACAACAGAGTTACTTTGCTGTGGG